GACTGGTCAGTGGCGAAGGAGTCCTCCTTGAACAGATAGTACAGTAAGGTAGCCATGTGCCAGGGACGATACCAACCCCCAGCCTCACACCACTTACCAAAGAAGACCCAAAGGTATGAGCTACAAACACAAACTCTTAGAAGAAGAGATGAGAATAAGCCTTCGTGGCCTTGGATTTGGCAAAGAATTCTTCTATCTGACCACAGACAGATTCAGTAACAAGGAAAGAAAGGCAAGCCACGCCTTGGACAGTGAAATAGAATCAAGAATGGAAGAAAGCCTTGTGTTTGTATACTTGATAAGGATTCTATCTGAGAGATACCAAGAACTTACAGAAGTCATGCACAGGAGGCTGGAGAGATGGCTCATAGGTTAAGAGCACTGACTGCTCTTCCAGAGGTCCTGAGTTCAATTCCCAGCAACCACGTGGTGGCTCACAGCCATCTGATGCCCTCTTCTGGCCTGCAGTCGTACATGATGTATACATAATAAATAAATAAATGTTTAATAAAAAAGTCATGCACAATTCCATTACCACTGATGGAGGAATCCACATAAACAGCACTATGAACAGCACTATGATGGACATAAACTACCTGCACAGAGGGAGGCTGCGTAGCAGAGCTGGGAAGATGGCCCAGAGCAAACAGCAAGCTACTCATCCACTACTGACTGGCGCCAAAGAGGTCGATCAAACAGTGGAATACTATTCAGCCACAAAAAAAGGAATGAGGCATTGGTGTGTGCTATGCTATGGATGAAAGACGATTTAGACTTCTCCAGAGACATCGCGCTGAGGGAGAGGAGCCAGGCGCCGTGAGTCATTCACACAGAATACGCCGAACTGGCAATGCTCTGGCAGAAAGCCAAACACTGGCTGTGCAGGGCAGGGAGGGGAGGGTTTGGGGAAGGGGCTGAAAGCCAAACGGTTTAAGGAAATGCTCTAAAGTCGAGAGTGTTATCTTGGAATGCACCAAAAACAATGAATTATATCTTTAAATGAGTGGGTTGCAGGCTTGTGAATTATGCCAATAAAGCTGTAAAAAGAAAGAAAGAAAAACACCCACATCACATTTCCAAACCCCAAGATCCTTAATCTGCATGTATCTGATCTTTAATGAGGCTGAATGTTTTTTTTTTCAAGGATTTCATGAAATGTTTCTTTTTTAACTTTTCAGTCTCATTTTCCAAGGCTGTTATTCATAATTTCCTTAAATTATAAAATTCCCTTAGTGATACAGTTAATGTGCTTTCCAAACTCAACAGGGGCCTTTTCCGGAACCAGACTGCAGCTAAGGGGCTCTGCGGCTCCCCACCCCGCCTCATCCTGAAGGAGCAGCATAGCCTCCCAGCACTTGACGCTTGCTTGCGTTAGACTTAGCTGCTGGGGTCAGACCCACCCACTAATGCCTCTGTCCTCCCACCCACTACCATGTAGACCCCACACCACGACAACAGAAGGATGGCAGGACTCTGCGCCCTTTTACTCCCCACCACCACCACCACCACCACGTGGACACATTTTCCTTCATCCTTCAGCAAGCACACCCTGGCTGCTCTGGATTTTTGGATGTATAACACAGTGGAGGGTGTCTCTGTATCACAGCCCTGGAGCTCCAGCTGTGGAAAAGCCCACTACAAAATGCAGAAAGGTGGCCGTGGGTGGCCATCAGGACCAGTACGGGAGGGGAACTGCAATAGCCTCCTAGGCAGGGATGACATTTCCTTCCGAGGAGCCTTGGGGCTAAGTGATGCCAGGACCTCTGTGAGATGCACCGTAGGCTATGTACATACCAAGGGCACTGTCCCTGCTGCCTGTAATTAGCTGTCCCTCTCTGTAACTGCACACGGAGAGCTTGAGCCAAGACTCTTGACCCAGGAAATTAATATTTGACTGGACACAATCACCTCATCCTTCACATGGGAGGGCAGTTGCTCTCATGAGACATGACTCACATGAACCAAGGATAGGCACAGCACCATCCTTACTTCCAGGACCTGTGAATCTAGGAGAACACACAGGCCAGAGCAGAGGCTAGAGCCTGAGGCCTCCTTGCCCAGGGTGGGGGTCCTCAGTAGTTGTGGGCTGCAGATGATAAATAGCACGCTTGCCTCCTGGATGCCCCTGGTAGAGCAAGACAGCCTTGGTGAATGTCCCATTTGGCTTTTAAGGATTTAACAGTTGTTTATTAACTGGGTCCTTTCACGGAAGGATGGAGGGCATGTTCATGCCACTAGGTTCCCAAGGGTGAGGAGACGAGGGCTTGGCATAACTGGGTTAGTGGGGCCATGGGGTCAGGCACACCCTGGAGCCAGGACCCACACTGCATTACTCACATTCTCTTGCAAATCTGCTAACATCTTTGTGACCCCCCACAGCCACGCCCTGGGCCTGCTCGGGCCACTCAGCTGTCCAGAAATAAGGTTGACTAGCTCCCGAGTGAAACCACCCCTTTCTGGGGCCTGGAAACCTTCACAATTATGCTAAGCACACACACTACTGCTTCTGTAGAAACGATCTGGCCTGGAATTATAGGTATCACTTGACACAAGACAGGTGTCTCTTCCAATGTACACACACAATGGGAGTAGGGACCCACAGCTTGCCGCTGCATGTCAAGGCCATTGTCAGCAAGGCTACCCAGACACCTGACCTGCCCCTGGTCAGGGCAGAATGAAGTCCCTGTGAGCCAGGACAGTGATAGCAGGGAGAGTGCCCCAACAGGAGCCATAATCAGTCATATAGCCACACCCATCTTGCTCCCTTTCCATTTCAAGACTACCCCAAATCCTGGGATATATCCAAGTCTATCTACCAGCACAGCGTGGTAGAGTTACCACCACAGAGGAACCGGCTGAGCTAGCCAGGCTAAGAGCTCAGGTGAGGACGAACTGGAGGCCAGAGGGGCCTGTGGCAATGCAGCTGATGTAGCCAGAGAATACACTTCTTCATAATCACAAGTTCAAAGCCCACGAGCAGACTTTAAATTCAGGGAGACAAAGAGCCAGGTCCAGGAGGACTCCCTGGTTTTCTTCACATGCATCGCATACAGTTGCCAAGGAGGCAGTGGCCAGTCATCTATTAGCAGTATCCAGGCCCAGGCGGCTCCTCCAGGTAGCCAGAAACAAAGCCTGTCTATGCAAAGTTGTACTGGTTGGGCAGCTGGTCACAATCTTTTGGGGACAATGCTAGGCATACTCTGGGGAGTACCCTACAAGGCCTAGCCTCTCCTCTGAGTGGACCCTGCCCCAGTCCTGTCTCACATGTTCCTCTGTATCCACATGCCTCTCTCTTGCATTCTGTAGGGGATCTAAAAGCGGGAGTAAGGAGTAATGGAGGCCAGCCAGATGCTGCAAGGGAGCCCCTGATGCTCTGATGTTCCCAGCCCCTCTATCCCATCTATTCTCTTGGGAGGGCACATGGGTGCTCTGCCTTCACTGTATCTATCACCCTCCTACGGTCACCCAAACTTCCCCTTGGAGACTCCCACGCCTGGGGCCTCCCGGACCATGGTAAATAGATAAGTGGGTCTGTTGGACTTCGGGTCTGTTGATTTAAATGCCAGGTGTGGATGGACAAACTTGGGGTCGGAGCTGATCACTCTTTAGGGTTCCAGGGCTAATGGGAGAAAGGAAAGTGTCAGGGACTTTAGTGGAGGCGAAGTATCCTTGTCTCACCCAGGACCTGTGGACAGCCATGCAAAGACAAAGGAAATTTGCAAATGTAATCAGTCAATGACCCCAAGATGAGACCCTTCAGACGACCAGGTTGGACCTGGACTGGGCAATCATTGTTGTAAGATACAGAACCTACGCCATAGGAGAATGGAGGCAGAGGGTCACAGTGACATGGCCACATTCCAGGGACCCTGGGGCAGCCAGGCTGAGGCCCGAGGTCCTGTTTGCAGCTGCCTAGGATGTGGAACTTGCTATAAGGCCCCAGAGACTCCCACAGCCACTGAAGCACAGTGGGAGCAGGAAGAAAAGCCTGAACTTCCAGGGTCACAGTGGCCTCTGCTGGAGGCAGCCTAGGCTGGCATGTAGTCATTGCTGGTCCACATCACATGACTGTGACCTCATCTCCCCAGGGGGCCTGGCCAAGGAGGGGCCAGGTGTCAGGCCGGGCTTCACAGTTCACAAGTCTCCTTTCCGCTCCATGCTGAGCAACTCCCTGGGTCTTGGCCACCATCCCAGGCACTGGCGGGGGGTGGGGGGGTGGGGGGAGGCAGGGAGACAGGGAGGGGTGCTCATTAAGCAACGGGGGAAGGGGGGCGGGTGTAGCCCTGGTATAGGTCAGAGGCCCCATTGCCTAGATCCATAAACAGAGCCTTCTGCACCTTTTATTTCTCAGGATGTTCTGTTTGAAAACTTTACTAAAGTAGCATGGGTAGATACACGGTGGTAATAGAAAAGCTACCCGGGGAGCCCACAGCTGGGACCTCAGCTGGCTTTCCCTTTTTTCTTTCAGTTGTGGGGAAAGACAGAAAGCAGTGGCAAAAATGGGACCAGAGAGAGTAAAGGGGCTATGCTGTCACTAAGTCACGCAGGGCCACTTCCATGCCCAGCTGCGCTGGCCTGCACACTGCCAATGCAGAGGCACCTGCTAGCCAGCCCATGCATGCATGCCAGGGCCAACGTCAGGGCTGGGGCTCTTCTCATTCTCCACTCCTTTCTCTATTCTCTTGCCTTCTTTAACAAGATGCTTGCAGCGCTGGCATTTTAATCAAGCATGTCAATATATCTCCAGGATCTGCTCCTCTCAAAAGCTACCCTGGGATTCTATCTCCAAAAGAAACCATACCTTCCTCCATCTTCTGAGATCCTCCAGTTGTCCCCCAAGGAGTCTCAGGACCTCTCCCCACACAGGCCTGAGAGCTATTTGGACACTGAAAGTCCACAGCAACTTCCCCAGGAGGAGAACCCTGTGCCCTCGAGAGCTGCTCACTCAGGCTGCTCATGTGGGTACAAAAGCTCTGCTATCATATCTCCCATACCACTCACTCAGCAGAGGCTGGAGATGCTCCTCTGCCTGGGGTCTACACACCACCCCTCTCCAGAGCTCCCCAGGGAAAGCCTGCTAAAGGACCAGGCAGGGAGACATGTCCAAGGCAGAGAGAGAGAAAGAGAAACATATAGATAGACAGATATGATGGGCATCTGATGACACTAACTCTTTGCTAGAAAGTGACCAACAAGAGTCTGGGAGCCGTGGTGAATTCTGCCCTCATGGGGCAACCGGAAGCTGTGGAAATTCCCAGGGCCAGAACAAGGGCAGGAAGTTCTTGATAGTCTGTGTCCTGGGGACTCATTGCTACTTTAGCATGGTTGGAAGAAAGGCTAGCCTCTCCTGAGGGAGAGGCCATGCTGTGCCTGGGCCCATGGCCAACGGTCAGTTCTGTTTTCCTAGAATCCATCAGATTCTTTGAAAATGTCTAGGTGATTCCCAAGTTTAGCTGAGTCGGTACTGAAGCCTCAGCAGGAGGGTAGGAACAAAGGTCCCTGGTTACTGGGTCAGTTCTGGACCCCAGCCTGGGCAGCCCACTTCCTCCCAGTGGTAGCTCGGAAACCCACCTATGGCCTGCTAAGACATAACCGGAAGCTGGTTTCCTGGCTGTTCACCGGCCACCTCGCCGGGTGTCACATGGTCAAGGAACACAATCAATTCCACCCAGAATCCATGGAATGCAATTAGAAAGGTGCAGCCAATGCCAGAGACCAAGCAACCCAGCAGGGCCGGGCCACACACCCCCGCTCTCCATCTCCTGCAGCCTGGAAGCCAGGTGGGAGAGACACCAGGGAGTCAGCCAGCCCAGCCTTGGCACCCCAAATCTGCTTCCCACCAGCTCTGGACCACTGACAACATGGGAGAAGTGGGTGGGTGGCCCAGGCCCTCACCCAAACATTTCCCAGGGGCTTTCTCCAAGTTCCACCCACACCACTGAGGGTGCTGAACCGCACGCACCATGAGTCACTCAGCAGGACCTAGGGAGCACCGAGCTGCCTACGTGAGTATCTTCTGAGAATCCTCCAAAGTCAGGCTTTGGCATCCTCAAGTGTGACAGCCTCCACATGTCCACTGAGGCAGGGACCCCAGGAAAACACTCTGGATCTGCAATCCCCTGGGCGTGTGGTCCAGCAGACAGGCGCCAGCCACCAGAGGGAGCCGCAGACCTAGCCTTAGCCTCTTAGCCACTTGCAAGCTTTTCAACTAAGGAGTTGGCTCCGGCTCTTTGTGGGATACTGTGTCAGGAAAGAAATTCTCATGCAGTAATTTAGAAAGTGAGAGAATAACTTCTCAGCCCACAACACACACAGCACCTCTGTCCACACCTCCTCTGCTCTTACACACACACACACACACACACACACACACACACACACACACACACACGTCAGAGAGAGCAACACAGACAACAGATACACTCACAGACCACAGTGATACATCCCACAAACTACACACAGACACACAACACACACAGGCACATCCATACGTTGCCAGAAACACACAGTAGAAACAGGCACACCACACAGACACACACAGGAGAAGCCCATAGACATAGATGGAGCCTGTCCACTACTGTGCCCTGCCTTTATGGAGGGACATGTCAGGCCACCCTCAGCTGAAGGCATGTGGGCAGCTCCAGTCCTGGCAGCAGCCTCTCAGCAGGCCTCCACCCCACCTGCATCACCAGGTACCCGCCTGGTCCAGCACCACACAGCTTGTAAGCATAATGTTGTGCTGTCTCCTGGTGGATGGCATTTCCTTTCGTGTATAGGGCAAACTCCAAGAGTGGGACCCTGGGGACGAAGGGACGGAGACCCTAGAATCTGGACAGCAAAGCACAGAGCAGTTCCTTTGCCCTCCAGCTCACACTGGGAGTGGCTTTGCCCCCTCCACCAGTGCTGGGGAGGAAGCCAGGCCTCCCGCCCACCTAACCAGGGAAGCGCTCTCTGACTGAGCCGCAGCTCAGCCCAGCCTTATGGGTTGGAAATGACCCATTTTTTGTCTTTTCCTCTGTGAGCTCAGCAGAACCATGGCCAAGGTGCCCGTCCAAATCCTTGGAAGCTGTGATTGCTGAGCTTCATGGCAGTGATTCATCTGCAAGGGACATTACCAGCGACTTCACTCTGGCAAGATGTGAGGCAGCCTGACCCACAGGGTTCTGCTGTGGGGGGGGGGGGGGGGAAGAGATTCAGCCGGAGGGACTCCCCACCAAGGCCATGCTAGCTAGTTCTGGGGCAGAAGAATCACAGGGGGTGAGTGGCTTCTAAAAGATAGAAAAGGCAGAATGGCTTCCCAGCAGGAACCTGCCTGTCACACTTCCTGACTGTAGCCGGTCAGACACATTTCCTGCTTCCAGCTGGGTACTGATAAACACTTAAGCCAAGGACTCGTGGTCGCTCATTAGAGCAGCCTCAGGAGGCCCCAGTCTTACCTGTGGCTGTGCGGGCCTTCGCTGCAGCCTTGACCTATCTCTGGGATCCAGAGTTTCTGTGCATGGCCCCACCCTGCACCACCCCCACTGTCCCCCTGTCCCCAGGCCTCCCCCTTTGTCTTCTGAGGCCTCATTTGCAAGGACTTCTCTGTGTGAGGCCCTGGGATCTCCTAAATGAGATCTGAGTGTTTCTCAAACTTCCTGTTCATATCAGGATTCTGGGCCCCGGCTTCTCTGATCATGGGAAGGGCTGGTCCTGCCCCTCATCTGTTATTGACAAATAATCCTGTAAAATACAATAAAACTGTCTCGGCCATGCCAAGAAGCCATAAAGGTTTCAAGCATGTCACTTTTTATACCACTCTCTGAACAAGCGCTTTGTGGACTGCCCTAGCCTCAGACCTCACCCCCAAGGAGCCTTAGGTTTCCATCTGGAAATCATCTTTACAGGTCAGCATGGAGCATCTTCCAGCTGCAGACAGATCTGCTAAGGCCATTCGGCAAACAAGCTGTTCTCTGAAAGAACTGAACGGAGGAGGCTTCATCCCACATGAGGCACAGGAACTGTGAGCTGGCCCCACACAGAGCTCTCCAGAAGCACACAGAGATCGGCACCCATCAAAGGACCCTGGAGCCCAGGAGCCCACCTTCCCTTTGCTGAGGAGAAGCTGCCCACACACAAGACCAAAGCCCAAAGGACGTATTTTTGAGTGTGTATATGTGAGCGTGTAAGATGCAGAACACACACACACACACACACCCCACACACACACCTCTAGAATGTTGGTGACTTGGCCCATCATGCTTTAGGCAGACAGGACTGAGAAACAGAGGCTGTGGGCAGATGTTTCCCTCTGCCTGCTTGGCTGCTGGCCACGAGTCCACTCGACTCCACTACCTTCCCACTCTGCATCCCCCACAGTGAGACAGAGAGCTAGCTGCCCATGCCTTGCTAGCCCCAGCCTGCAGGCCCCAACAAAGCCCATTTTGCCCAATTAAAAAGTTGTTTCACTCTATATGGGAGCGGGGGAATGGGTTCCACACTGAGCTTCAAAATCACAAGGAATGTGGTCTCGGGGAGTCACAGAAGCTTCACAAGACGGGCATGTTTCATAAGGGGTGTCACACTCAGCTCTTCGTCACATGTACCCTGCAAGGGAGGCATGCCCAAGACAGAGATGGGGCGTGTTCACCGAAAAGGTTAAAGGTGAGACAGTGGGCTACTCTCCATCTATTCCTAGGCCCTTCCTGACCCCCACTTTGCAAAGAGGTCCCCTGTATAGCTTGAAGAAATCAACTGCTAGGACCACCAGCACTCACAGGGATGGCAGGAGAAATGTGAGAACTTTGCAGGTGGGATTTTTAAACATCTTTTAAAACCTTTCTTGGCATTGTCTTCAAGGGCCCCAAATCATTTAGCCCTAGGGATGGCCCCCAAGAAGACCCAAAGGCCCCACTGCACAGACCCTTCCCCTCCAATGAGACCCAGGTGAGTAGAACTTGGCATTGCCTTGTCTAGCACTTCTATCCTGGTGTGAAGGACAAACAGACAAGGCCTGGGCACCCACATACTGCTCAGAGGGGCTCAAGGGAGGAGCAGAGGGACCTGGGAGGCAGCATATTCAGAGCTGGGCAGCACACAAACTATTCCGACAGTAACAGAGGACCGTGGTCCCTGCATGCGGCACTCAACAAGCCTCTCCACCTCCTGCACCTCACCTGACAAGTGTGCGCTGAGTTGGGTCTCACTCGCCTAAGTTGGTAACCCTATGCCCCAGGCTCACCCGGCGGGATGGCTGCATGGTCTCAATGGGTCTCTGCTCAGGGCAGAGGCCAGGACTCTGTGACGCAGCTGAGCAATGGACACTGGGGACGGTGGGGGGGGTGGGCATCAAATGCCTGCTCCTCCAAACCCATGCCCAATCATATCACCCATAGAAGAGTGCAGCAGAGGTTTCCAGAACCCCTGTCCACAAAGGGCCTCTACCTCTCCAGGGGTGCTCTGCCCATCGTCTATCCCTGCCTCTGCACATTTTCAGGAGAGGAACACTGGGGCTTAGAGAAGCCGTGTGACCCAGTGGGGCCTCCGATCGAAGAAGTGGGCGCTAGCGGTCAGCGTAAAGGGAACGGGACAGAGCTTACATGGGGCCGAGGACTGGAACGCTGTATCTGCTGCACCCACTGCCCCCCCACCGAGGACCCCCCCCCCCCCCGCCCCCCACCCCACCCCCGGGAGGGTCGCTCTCAGGAAGGCAAACCCAGGTCCTAAGCCTCCTCACAGGACCTGGGATGAGGTCTGTGGACTTGGTATTTTAAAATCTTCTAAGAATGGTTAACTCTACAAGTAAAGAGGTTTTTTTGGTTTTGTTTTAAACCATGTCTTATTTTAAGAATTGAATAAAACGTCCCTTTCTCCTCCAAGCATCTATCACCATCTGAACAAACAGCGGGGGCCCCTCCTTGTCCTTCGCGAAACTGACAAGGTCAAACAAAGTTAAACATTAAAGGGATCCTGGACCCTTTCAGAAGGCAAGGGTTGTTGTTATTTTCTTTGGCTGAGCTGGTTTCAGGGTTTCAAAGACGACAATGGTCTGTGGGAACGGCTGGCTTTCAGACCCTATCAGGGGTTGTCACAGTCAGTCCAGGGAAGGGCACAGGGGCCTCTGTCTGCAGGAGACATTTCCAGATGGGCTTTTAGGGCATATTCAGAGTCACTCTGGAAGTCCAGAGGGTGGCTAGAGGACTAGACAGGGTGGCGGGAACTCGGGTGCTCTCTCAGACTTTGGTTCCCGTCATGGGAATCATGACGGGTCTCAGGCAGAAGCTTTCCTCTTCACAGGCGCCTTGAGGTCCTCACAAGTTGGTATATAGGACTGTAAAAAAAGGAGTGCGTCCTTCTCAGCCCGCACATATCCTGAACTTAAAAGATGAGCTTCCGGCCCCAGGAGGGCTCAAGGAGGCGTCCACGTGCACAGTGATAGAATTGAAGGTGGTTCTGCCACTAGACCAAACAGAAATGGGCTGCTTTCCTGCTGGTCCTGACTACTCCCCGAGCTGTATGGCCCGGATGGTCCTCCTAGAGCCCAAGGGCAGGAAGAGGCAAACTTGAGGACCCCACACATTTGGAACACAAGGGTTCCTCACATAAAAAAATGTGTGTAGATGAGAGTGGCAATGTGGCTCTCCCCAAAGCCTGTGTGGCCAGAGGCAGCAGCAGTAGAACGGGAGTCAGAATGGGAAATGTCCCTCCCGCAGATGACTCATCACCCCAGACGATGGACCACTTACCCCGTTTGTATTTATTCAGTTTAAACCTGACAGCAACGTACTTGGACCAAGTGGCCTTAAGGCATGGAGAAGGCTGGGGTCAACACCTTAGATATTACCTTCTCCTGGAGTCCCACCACTGCCAGCCTTACATCAGCAAGACCCTGTGGGAGTACCCACAGCTTAGCTCTGGCAGGATCCTGCTGGGATCCCCCCAAAACCCTCAGCCAAGCCACCCTACTGGTGGCGGCAGGAAGAAGCCTGGGGCTTTTTGTCCCTGGGCTCTACAACTGTCTTTCCTTCCTCTCAACCTGGGTCTGCCCTGAAGTGCTGGGAGGGAAGCCAGTGGGCATGGCGGGAGGCACCTGTGGGGGCAGATGCCCACAGAGGATGTCCACGGGTAAGGGAAGGGTAAAGAGAGCTGACACCCTGGGCTAGAAAGCATCTGCTGGACAAAAGCATGCTGGCCACACCTGCCCTCTCCATTCTCAAACGAACTCAGGGATACCCAAAGTAGGAGGAGCAGCTGGTGTCTCTGCTGTGGCCCCAGATACCAAAGGCACTGGCTCTGTTCTCCCTACCGACGTTCATGGCTCAGGCCATCCAGAGCAGCATGCCTAAACCACATCAAAGGCAGACACTGAGAGCCTTAGCGGGCACATGATTCTCTCCAAGTCCAAGGCCTTGAGGAGAATCAAAACAGGGGTTGAGGGGCCTTGGGAAAGTCACCGTCTTTCAGAGGTACCAGAAGGATGCCCCTGAGACATGGCGGTTTGGCTTCTCCCTGGCTCTCACAGCCACCACGTGGGGCAGCTGGTGCCTGCTCCCTCCTTAGTGCCCGTGCCAACAGGTTCTCAGTGGGGGCCACGACTGCTCCCTGCTGCCCTCAGACCTCAGTGAAGGCATCCATCAGTCCACAGTGGAGGGGACAATGCGCCTACCCTTTTCTGTGTCACACCCCTCCTAGGACAACCTACAGACCAGACAAGCCACTGTAAACAGAATGTGACCCTCCCCTGCCAGTCATCCTCCAGATAGAGACACACCTGGGAGAGGAATGACCCACCCTGTAGACAGGCAGTTAGGGCAGGTCATAGACTAATATGGAAGGGCCCCCTGGGGTTTTGTTCTCCAAGGGTGGCTGTTCCTGTCCTTTCAGATTCTGCTGTGCTTGACAAGGGATCTGACAGGCTTGCCCACCTGACCAAAGCCCTTTCTGGACATGTGCTCAGCCCACCGAGACCTGGGCCTGAGGTTGCAGCAGTATCTGCCTGCGGCCCTCAAGGCTCTCACTCTGCGCTCTTTGCTAAGAATAAAAAGTCAATACACGCTACCCACCCTAGGACCCCAGGCTGAGAGGAGTCTGCTCCACATTCCTGGGCTTCCAGGGACTTAGCCAGCCACCCACGCTCTCCATCTGCCTTTGTAACCAGATCCAGGGTCACAAAGAATGACCCCCGAGCCTGCCCTGGGTGGGCCTGAGCCCACCTCCCTCCTTGCCGGCTTGTCCAGGCTCAAGCGGAGGAGCCCAGGACATTCATTGTGAATGGACCGCTCAGACATACAGGTGGCTGAGGTCCACCTCTTCCTGCCTGTGACTCTCCACAAAGGGGCCATCAACTACCAGAGCACTGCAAATCATGGGCTAGGGACCTCGGTTGGCGAGGAACTATAGCTCTGACCCACGGGAGAGTCCAGCACACAAAGGAAAGGTAGGAGACTAGTGAGGAGGATACCCCCAGCCATAAGCCATGGGCCCACAATATTTGGGCATGGACATAACTCTCATCTCCACACAAGTACCCAGCAAGGCAGTAGAGCATACTGGGGAACCAAGGAAGGAAGTGTCGGGTAGCCCAATCACCGAGGCAGAAGCCCCAGAAAAACAAAAGAGCCTAGTGTCAAAGCCATCCTCAGTGTCAAGGCAGCCATCCTATACCTTAGGAAGACGCTAAAACCATGGGTCCAAGGGACACTAACGGTGGGAACAATGACCTGAAAAGAAAGCGACATCCTGACCATGGAAGAAAGAAAACACCTAGAACTGTCCATCCCCACAGGGCAGCCTACAGCCTGAGAGAGTCACATGACCTGTGAGGTGCGGGATGTGTGCGCTTGGAACTAGAGAAGGATCCTCCATCCCCTTAGTGAACCTTGAGGACGGGCAGGAAGAGTTGGATTCAGAGCAGGCACACGGGGAATTTTCTAGCCAAGTATGAGGATGGATGGATGGATGGATGGATGGATGGATGGATGGATGGATGGATGGATGGACGGATGGATGGGCAAACACGCCAGTGAATGAATGAATACCTTTCATTAGGCTTTAGTGTGACAGCCTTCCTTCCCTATTTCTCCTGTCTCTTCCACTGGGAACGGTCCCTCTCTCACAGGGGCACAGCAGGAGGCATGGATTCCCACGGCATGGATGAGCTCCAGCCCAGGGAACAGAGACCCGTCCTCCATTCCTCCTAGGCACCTACAGCCTTTGTACCTTGAGACCTTCACGGTGATCTGCAAAGACTGCAGCGTGGGAGCCATGTAGAGAAGGAAGCCAAGAGAGACCAGGGCTGTAAAGAGGCCACAGTCTCCAGTTAGATATATGGAGTTCAGAAAACACATTTTCAAAGAGAGAGCAGTACAACAGATGACCAGCCAGCTGGCACAGCACAGCCTGATGCTCACCACACAGGCAGACCTAGAGACACTGGGATCATGGAGAAGCCAGCAGCTCACGCAAGTTCCACACATACAAGAGTCCAGGACACACCTGGAATATTCTACCCAAGCAGGAGGCGAAAACAGACAGATTCAGGGGTGGCATAGATTCGTGGCTTCCTGGGACCATCCATGGTGCAGGGTTTCCTTTTGGGACAATGAGAATGTTCTAGAACTAGATCACAGTGATTATTGGACAACATCAAATATCCCTGAATCATTCACTGTGAGATGCTCAGTTCTATGCTATGAGAACTTTGAAAAAGTAGAAGGATCCCTCTGTTCCCGTGCAGAGAAGACCAAGGACGGGACACCAGGGGAAGCTGCCACCGTGTGTCACGGTTTCTCTCGAAGTCTCCTAGCCTGCGGACCCTTTCTGCACACACCCTGCATTCCAGTCAGCCGGGGTGGTTCCTCCCAACCTACCTTCCCCTGGAGGCTGCTCAGTCAAGTCTCCCAGCAAGCACAGCAACTACCTGAAGCCACAGATACCTTAACCTCATCTACTTCGGCCCGCCCATCTACGTTCGTGACTTTTGCCTCACTGTGACCTGACCTCACTGTGACAGAAACAAAGGCGGAGAGGTTCACCTGGACTGGGGGCTCTGAGATGCTTACAGTCCATCATGAGGGAGAAAAACACGGTGGAGTTCATGGCCATGGGAGTGTGAGGCAGGGCTTGTTCACAGGTGCAGTCAGGAAGCAGAGAAATAAGGGACAGAATCAGGGACCAAACTTTCATAGGTCCACCCCTAGAAGTGAACTCCCGCCAGGCAGGCCTCGCCCCCTAAAGACTCCACAGCCTCCTACGTAGCATCACAGTCTAGGGACCAGTGTTCAAAACATGAGCCGGTAGGAGACATTTCCATTTAAAAAAAACCATACATTTCTTCTGCTGGCCCCGCAAAGGCTCACGGCCATCTCTCGTGATGCAAAATGTTTTAACAGCCCTAACGCTGTTCCAAAGTCCAAAGTCTCCCTTGAAGCACAAGGCCAACTCCTTAACGGTGCGTCTCTGTCAAAACCAGAAACTGCATGGTTACAACACACAATGCACAAAATAAACACTCCTACTCCCAGAGGGAGGAATGTGGGGGATAGCAGAGGGAGAGCTGGCCAAAGCAAGCAAACGCGGAGTCCTGGAGCCTCGTGTCCGGCATCCCT